ACCTAGAGATATTTTAAAAATAAAGATGCCTGGCTCCCTTTCCCAAACACTGATGTAATTGGTATCAAGTAGAAGCTAAGACACAGGCTTACAAAAAGCTTCCCAGGTATTTCTAATGTGAGGCAAAGTAACCACTGGATTCAGGTGAATTAGTGTCCTATAACTCAGAAATAATTTGGAGATGATATAGACTCGTATTTTTCCTTTTTGGGCAGTGACAGTATCATTTACTTGAAATAGACAAGTTTCTCAAAGTTAAGATACAACAGTGCAGGCCAGGTGTGATGGCTCACGCCTATAATGCCGGCACTTTGGGAAGCCAAGGCAGGTGTATCACCTAAGGTCAAGAGTTTGAGACCAGCCTGGCCAACATGGTGAAACCCCCTCTCTACTGAAAATATAAAAAATGAGCCGGGCGTGGTTGTGCATGCCTGTAATCCCAGCTACTCAGGAGGCTGAAGCCGGAGACTCATTTGAACCCAGGAGGCGGAGGTTGCATTGGGCCAAGATGGCACCAGTGCACTCCAGCATGGGCGACAGAGCGAGACTGACTCAAAAAATAAAGATTCTACAGTGCAATGGATGTGAACAATTATCGTGGGAGAAAGTAACTCTGCTGCTAGTTTACAGCCTATTTATAATTCACAGCTTTGTTTTGTCTTTGATATGCAGTATTTTGCATTAAGCAATTATGGGGGTTTTTGGTTTTTTTTTGAGATGGAGTCTCGCTCTGACGCCCAGGCTGGAGTGCAGTGATGTGATCTCGGCTCACTGCAACCTCTGCCTCTCAGGTTCAAGTGATTCTCCTGCCTCAGCCTCCTAAGTAGCTGGGATTACAGGCGCCTGCCACCACACCCTGCTCATTTTTTGTATTTTTAGTAGAAATGGGCTTTCGCCGTGTTAGCCAGGATGGTCTCGATCTCCTAACCTCGTGATCCACCTGCCTCGACCTGCCAAAGTGCTGGGATTACAGGCACGAGCCACACGTCTGGCCAAGCAATTCTGTTTTACTTATATTTTCACTTTGGAAGCTGTGATGTACTGTTTTTTAGTCTTGAACCCAAAGCATTACTACTGAGTTGCAGTGTTCGGAAAGACAGTTGTGGGTGCTCAAATAAGTCTCCCTGCTGCATGTGAGTGTTTCAAAGGTTTGGAGGTGTGACGCAGATAGGAAGCAAATCAGTGCCCTTGTAAAGGGTGAGCAGTATCTTATTCTACCATTAGGGCTGGCATCACAGTGTACTGAGTTCCTACAGAATATGTTTTAATTATGGGGGACGGTGATTGTAACAAAGAGGTTGAAGACTAGATGAATCACAACCACTGAAGACTTGCAGTACTGTGAATGGTTAAAAGCTACAATAAAAGGATAAGTTGCTTTGATAGCTGTGGAACTAAAGGGTTACTCTTGCCTCCCAAAAATAAAGTGCTCTGTAGTACCCTCATAAAAGTAGGATAGGAGACTTAAAGCAAAAGGATCATAGGAGACCTTATAAATAACCCCAAGGCCAAAATTTTGTCTTTAGTCTTATTAGAAATTAGACATGACTTGTTAATGTGATCAGAAATGTACACTCCTGAGTGTATGCTGTGTCAGACACGCCAATGTACCAAGTGCCCCATCCCTTACATTCTGGCTTCACCACCACACCTCACTGGAACTGCCCTCTCATTGTCAGTGGAATCTCAGTGGCTTTTTCTTTGGCCTAATTTGTTTTGCCTTTCTTTTTGCACTTGATGTTGCCACCATATCTTGAAATGTTACCTTATCTGTCCTGTTTATTCTCTATGAATAGTTCTTGACTTCCGTTGCTGATTCTTTTTTTTTTCCCCCAACCTATCTTTATATACTTTACTCTTTCTAGTCTTTAAGTTCTGAGCTCACTCACAGATCACTCCCCAACCTGAATGGTTTCCACGCCTATTTCAGAAACTTTTATTTTGATGTCTGTCACCTCATATCTCAGTAAATAAAACTGAACTCCAACGTAGGTGAAGGAGGAATGGGTTGTTCAGAAAGAAGCCATCAATGGATGGCTCATGAGGTATGAATGCCTAGAATATTTGGGAAAAAATGAAATATTATAGCCCAGGTAAGTCTAAGAGAGGAGTAGCAAGAGAACGAAGCTTGGGGAGATAGGCAGAGCCCAGATCAAAGGACTTTAATTGCTATGCTTAGGCATCTTTTTAGCAAGAGATGCCACTGAAGAATCGGAAGCAATCACAAAGGTTCGTGAGTGATGAAAGCTGCATTTAGAAAGCTTTCAACTGGTAGCCTGGAGAATGGATTAGAAGGAAACTTGGTGAGACAAAGAAAGACAGGGAGGATGGAAGAGAAGGTATTTAGAAGGTACCATGAGTAGAAATTTGGTTAATGATTAGAGGAGGTAAAGTATCTAGGATGGCCCCCAGGTTGCTTCTAGCATGAGTAATGGGGTTGCTGGTATTATTTACTGGGCTAAGAGAAACAGATTTTGGAGGGAAGAGAGCTCAATTGGATACTCAGGAAGAAATAGCCAGTGGCAATTAGATAAACCCACCTAAGACAGAGTAGTGCCTGCTTCAGCAGCACATATCCTAATACTAGACCGATACAGAGATTAAACACAGCCCCTGCGCAAGGATTACACGCAATTCCATGAAGCACTCCAATGGAAAAAAAAAAAAAAAAAATGACAGCGTCAAAGTCTAGGCTTTAACAATAGATTTGGTAGTAAAAACCACAGGCATGGGTGAGATTATCTAACAATTATGTTAGTGAAATAATAATAGTAAACGTCCAGTAAGAGTGTTTTCTATGTGCCAGACACTAGTTACAAATCCTTAATATATTAACTCATTTAATCCTTAAAACAATTCTATGAGGAAAAGAAGCCCATAGGCAGAAAGAACAAAGAAAAATTAAGTTGGTTAGGCAGAAAGTAAACATGGGAAACCAAATGAGTTTTGAGAAGTAGGCATGAGATTAAGTGAACCAAAGTGTCTGTTTAATTTGACAACTGTGTTATTGGAGATCTCACGGAGAACTGTTTCTAAGCAAGAATTCAGACTGCAGGCTGTTTGAAGTAAAAGAAGGGATAGAATGATAGGCTATTAACTGTGGGAGCAAGGAGACCAAGTAGGTGTGAAAGGGAGATGCTGAGTACAGGAGGAAGGGCACCTCCTTCCTGAGACAGGTGGTAAGGATGGATGTTGGAGTAAGTAAATCATCTGTAGCAAGGGGTCCAGGAATGGAGGGAATTCACAGCTCATGACCAAGTTCTCTGTATAGAGGTATACTGGTTATCTGGTGAGAAAGGTAGTGAAGGCTGGAATTGTTGCTGGAAAGTGGCCTAAAGAATAAACTGATAGACTACTGATCATAATTTAAAGATCTAGTAAGGCTGGAAAATGTAGTAGCATCAAGCAAAGGTTATGTCGGCTTTTTCCCCTCTAACAGACTGGACACAAAAAAGCAACTATAAATTATGTTGATTTACAGTTTGAAAGGGCTGAGATTAAAAGCCATAACATTAAAAGGGCAGGAAGGATGGGGGTGAGGCACATCATTGATAATTTCAGGGGTGAGGCACATCATTGATAATTTCAATCTGCAACATTCTGATCAGTATATACTGTCAATATGTATGTTTCCAAGTCTAGACTTTTTTTTTTTTCTTTCTTTGAGACAGAATCTCACTGTCATGCAGGCTGGAGGGAATGCAGTGGCATCATCTTGGCTCACTGCAACCTCTACCTCCCAGATTCAAGAGATTCTTGTGCCTCAGACTCCTGAGGAGCTGGGATTACAGACATGCGCCACCACTCCTGGATAATTTTTCTATTTTTAGTAGAGACGGGGTTTCACCATGTTGGCAAGGCTGGTCTCAAACTCTTGGCCTCAAGCAATCCACCCGCCTCAGCTCCCAAAGTGCTGGGATTACAGGCGTGAGCCACTGCACCTGGCCCCAGGTCTAGACTTTAGATGTGATTATCAAAGAGAAAAAAATTTCCAGTAGAGTAGCAGAGGTAGCTAGATAGCCCTGGTTTAACCCTGTTAGAACCGATTAAGAATCCAGCATAGAAGGAAAGTTTTTAAGCATGTGACTTATATTCTCAGCAAATTTTCCCAAAATCAATAAATGTCTGACCCGAGTGTCTAATATGCTTAGCACTTGGGGAGAGGGGTAGGTATAGCATAAAATAATTGTTGCTCTAAATGACCATTACGGAAGACATGACTAAACAAATGAAGTCACAGTGCAATAAACAAGATAATACACTTAAGTGCCAAAGCACTTAATATCAATTTTCAAACCTGAAATATTTTGGAAATGTTTTAAAAGGAGGTACAATTTGAGAGTAACTCCCAAATGGGAAAAGAATCAAGTGAGTTTTTCTTTGAGCTTTTGTATAAAAGTATCATCAACACATTTATGGAAAAGTTTAACAGATTACAAAGGGAATTGTTATAAACAATCTCTGACCTAAATAGTATGTGATCAAATGCACAAATAAAAGACAAAAAATATTAAGTATGATTTCATCTAAATTTCTAAAAGATGTAAAAATAGATACCTTTTCTTTGTAGTAGAAAAGAGCATTAAGATATGTAGTGACAGACAGTAGTGAAATTACATAGTTTATATAATCCTTCAGATACCTTAACTTCCTAATCTGTAAAAGGGCTAGAAGAGTAATTGTTCTTTTTATCCACAAAAGGTCTGATTGTGAAACAAATGGTTTGAAGTGTTTTATAAATATAAATTCTTTAAGTGCAGACAACTAAAATACTAAATTCATTATGTTAAGCAGAACATTATAGTTCATCATTACAACTAGAAAGAAACTGGCAACATGCAGGTATTTGCCAAATATTAATATAATGGAACAAAACAGAAGTAGAATTTCTTCATGCAGTAGTTGGGAAGGAGAAATAGAGATATTTTATCACTTCTTAACTAAAACATGTCTATGCTGGCTTTTAAATATTGTTAAAAATATCACCAGAGACCAAAACAGAAGATAAATTTCATTTCTATATTTCAGAAAACCTACTTGAATACACTTTGAAACAAGAGTACAACAAAATAGAATATACTTCAAATGTTGAATATACAAACTATTATAGTTCAAATCTGAACACTGGTATTTCCCTCATAAACTTCAACTGAAAAAAAAAGAAAGAAAGAAAGAAAACTCCAGGTATTAGAGCTACCTGACAAAAATTCATGCTGAGCCTGAACTTCCAAGTGACAGCAGAACTGAAAATGATATGTCTGCACAAATGCCAGGGCTGAGTGACACAGGCATGTTACAGCAAAAGGCCAGAGCCAACTGTTAATCTGTCCACAATTAAGAAACTGACAGACTTAAACTACCATATAAAATGTTACATGTAAATTCTATAACAATACTGTGCTAGGTACAAGATTTTTAAAATTTTTCTTTTAATAAAAAAGCTTTACACAAACAAGCCATTAGCTTATTTCAAGAAAGAAAACCGAAAATTAGTCTAAGGCCTTTGTTTTAAATCAGCTTAAGCTATATGATATATATATATGTGTGTGTGTATATATATATATATATATATAAAAAATCGCACTAGATCTTTTTTTGCTATCCTCTTTCTGAAGTTTTTGGGATCCATTCTTCAATTCACATTCTAAAATACCTATATTAGCAGAGTCTTCACATAGCACCAGTTAAGTGAGAACTGTGCGAACACAGTAATAATTGCTGGTATGCATATAAAATGCATCAAAAATTGCTATATGTAACAATAAGATCACCCATCCCAACCCCTCCCACTGAAAACTATATAACCTCTTACAGAATGTTAGTGTTCCAAGTCTTAGTGTAACTTGATATCGTAGTGAGCTGCTTGGTCCCTTTCAATCCTTTTTCTTGATGGGTTCAGTTGTTTCCTACTGTAAGAGGCAGTTTTCTGTCAGCATCTCAATATGTAGTTCATTTCCCACTGAAACATGGGATAGGTAATTTATTTCCAGTAAGTCTGATTGTTTTCGTATATGCATTAAAAATGTTTTAAAGTCTTCTTTGACTTTTCTTGATGACTTCCCTTGCAAATGTTTATGTCAGTACTGCCACTAACAGCCTGAAGTCCACGGTGGAGCTGCTATTTTATTTCTCACATGTCACTAGTCCTTCTGTTTTCATAGTTACAGGAAGGGCAATAGCTGAAGGCGCACTGACAACCACTACGTGGGTCACTGTCTTATTTCCATCTGCCGGTTTTTCTTCTACTAGCTGCAAAGTTTTCACATCATGTTCTTGCTTTTTTGCCACTGCTTCCGATTTAACCTCTGGCCCCTTTATGACTGCACTGATAACTCGAGGAGGAGTCTGGCCAGATGCCTGCTGAGTAGGCATTGATAGTCTCATTACAGGTGTACCATGAGCTATTGAAACAGGGGTAAGTGCTCTCACAGCCAATGGGGTTCCAACAATGTTAATGCTTCCTGATCCAGTCAGATTTGACTTTGTCTGCAGTTGACACTGTGCAAGCTGTGTAGCTGGGATGGTAATAATTTTGGCAGGCTGCATGGTGATTTTGTCTCCATTTTCAGTAGAAGCTGGCATCACAGTAGGGATTGTCTGAATGACTACCTTTGGAGAGGTCGCTGTTGTTGGACTAGTGCTGGTTATTAATGGTGCACCTGCATTAACTGACTGAACTGCCACAGTTGAAATTTTCTGACCCAATGATGTCATTACAACAGGTACCTGCATTGCCACACGAACTGTCCTAGTACATTAGAAAGAAAAAAGCTGATTATATTTAATGCCAAATGAGAAAATAGGTCTCCTGAGTAAAAGATGAATACAAATCCAAAATGTGTAAAACTAGTGCTCCCAAATTTTACAGAGATACTGGCAATTCCTGATGTCTGACACAAACATACCATGACACAAATATATTTTAAAAACTAAAGCCTACATTAAGCTCCATCTATAAAACCATAAAAACCAATTCAGGTAATTTAAGACATCTACTTTTTTTGTTGTTGTTGTTGTTTGAGATAAGGTCTCGGTCTGCTGCCTAGGCTGGAGTACAGCGGTGCAATCTTAGCTTACTACAACCTCCAAATCCTAAGCTCAAGTGATTCTTCTGCCTTAGCTTCCTGAGTAGTTAGGACTACAGGTATGTGACACCATGCTCAGCAATTTTTTATTTTTATTTTATAGAGAGGAGGTCTATGTTGCCAAAGCTTGTGTTGACCTCCTGTCCTCAAGCAATCCTCCTGCCTTGGCCTCCCAAAGTGCTAGGATTATAGGCGTGAGCCACTGAACCCAGCAAGACATCTACTTTAACAACAATAAAAAATATAATTAAAATATCAAGCACTTTTCAAAGTCCTGACAACACTGGGTTCTTAGAACACTAATATTAAGCAAAGGGACATTTCGCTTTCACCAAGGAGACTTTTTAAAAAAGCAAATACATTATAACTAATGGTTTGCCTCACTTACCTTGGAGCTGCTGTTGCTGACACAGATGCATTGGTAGTAGGAGACCTGGATGAAGCATCGTGCCCAGGGGAAGTGATATTCACAACTCTAGCGACACCCTTCTCTGCTCTGGAGCAGTTTATAGGGGATGAATTTTTTCCACTGCGAACAGACGATGCTGCTTTCAGGAGACTTTCTGCAGACAGTGACACTCGTTCTAATGATTTTTCATCAGTAGCTCCTGCTAAATCTTCATTACAGGTTTCACTTTTGTCATCATCTATGACCACTATGTTTTTGGGCATATCCTTGAACTGATATACAAGCCTCTGTCCTTCAACCTTTGCAAGAATTCCCCTTTGGTAGTAGTATCTGTGAGGGGAAAATGTACCAAATGAATCAAGTATATTATTTCTCCACCCCACTCTACCCCCACCAAAAACACTATGTACAGTGCATACTAATAGAAACATTCCCTTATCCCTAATAACAGATGAGAAAAAAACAAACTCTTACTGCCTAGACTGCTCAAAAGGTTACAAATTTAGAGTAGGAATCAGGTTGGAACCTGGCGCCAAGGTCCTACAAACTTAAGATCTATAAAGTAGCTGAAAGTTCATTCGTTTTCTTAAAAGAAATAATTTACCTTACCATTGAGTATTTTACTATACTGACACTGGTAGAAATTCTTTTCTGATTTACATAGGTTATAAAAACAAACTGATATTACTGGAAAAATTATCTAAGCCACACTTAAACTTAGTAGAGATTTGCGAATACTGTCACATAAACCATGTGTTCACTTAAAAACACCTTTAATTAGAAGAAGCCATGTGCTTTCCAATGAAAGAATTTTGTGGGTTTATCAAACTGATAATTCTTTTTTTTTTTTTTTTTTGAGACGGAGTCTCGTTCTGTCGCCCAGGCTGGAGTGCAATGGCACAATCTTGGCTCACTGCAACCTCTGCTTCCTGGGTTCAAGCGATTCTCTTACCTCAGCCTCCTGAACAGCTGGGATTACAGGCGAGCACCACCACACCCGACTAATTTTTGTATTTTTAGTAGAGATGGGGTTTCCCCACGTTGGCCAGGCTAGTCTTGAATTCCTGACCTCAAGTGATCCGCCCGCCTCAGCCTCCCAAAGTGCTGGGATTATAGGCATGAGCCACCATGCCCGGCCAAACTGATAAAACTTAAATTTTCCTATCAACATAAATCCATTTATGACAAACTCCTAAAAACTAAAATACAAATTAACTTTAGGAACCATAATTTGTTTAGGCTTAATTTTTTTTAAGCCTACAACTTCACAATTTCTATTAAGAAATAGTCCTAAGTACAAAAGCACATTTTCTGCAAAAATGAATTCTCCAATTATGTTAAAATTATAAGCATGTAGACTAAACTCCTATCTCCCTATCTACTTCCAAATCTAAGATGCTCCTCTAGAATATCCCCCAAAGTTAAAAGTTGTAAAGGATTTTCAGCTTCTTTAAACAGCTAATAGACAATATAAAGAAATACATAAATTTTGTGTGAATATTAGCTCATTTGCATTTTTACCTCAAAGCTCGTCCCATGGTTTCATAGTTCATGTCTGGTTTGTTCTTATGCTTTCCCCAAAGCTTAGAGACAGCCTTTGAATCCACCAGCTTGAATATGCCTTTTTCTCTCTGAGTCCATTTAATATACCTGGGACAAGTATTTTTATCTTGAAGTAGATCCAAAAGAAACTCCCACAAATAGGTTGTGTTTCCTTTAAAAACAATGACAGACATTGATTACAAATTCATTAACATAATTAAATACATAATTAAAAGCAAATAAAGTGTCCTTCATCGTAACTTAAAAATCCTGAATATACTTGTTTCTACATTTTTTTTTTTTGGAGACGGAGACTTGCTCTGTCATCTAGGCTGGAGTGCAGTGGCACAACGTCGGCTCGCTGCAACCTCCACCTCCCAGGTTCAAGCAATTCTCCTGCCTCAGCCTCCCGAGTAGCTCGGATTACAGACACATTCCACCACACCGGGCTAATTTTTGTATTTTTAGTAGAGACAGGGTTTCACCATGTTTGCCAGGCTGGTCTTGAACTCCTGACCTCAGGTGATCCGCCCGCCTAGGCTCCCCAAATTCTGGGATTACAGGTGTGAGCCACTGCGTCCAGCCTGTTTCTACTTTTAAAAAATGGTATCCCCTACGTATGCTTACAGTTACGATGCTAAAATACAGATTCTGGCGTTTGTACATTACATATCACCCTATCCTAGGTTTTGAGTTCAGTAAAGGCATAATTGCTTAGGCAAAGTTAACCTGAATTAAACAGAATCAAGTTTATTAGTTTATACAGATTTAAACTCTGAATAAAATAAATTTGTTTACACCTTTGTTTATCATATGATAAGCCTAAATTCCATGATCAAAATTCATCAAAAGGTACTTAGTAATTTTGTTGGATAGGCAAGCAAAATGCAATGAAATGTGTAAAACTTTTAGGCATCAGACCTAGGATCTTTTTGTAAGAAACTTACTTTTCTTTGATTCACCTACAGGCATGAACTCTGAGGTATATATATTATAAGTGCAAACTACCCTCAACCCTTTAAGCATTTTCTTATCATTTTCCTCTGTACTACCAGTCAATTAAGACTTGATAGCAAAGAACTTTACTGTTGGCTGGATGTGGTGGCTCACGCCTGTAATCCCAGCACTTTGGGAGGCTGGGAGGCGGGCGTATCACCTGAGGTCAGGAGTTCGAGACCAGCCTGGCTAACATGGTGAAACCCCATCTCTATTAAAAGTATAAAAATTAGCATGGTGGCGTGCACCTGTAATCCCAGTTACTTGGGAGGCTGAGGCATGAGAATCGCTTGACCCCAGGAGGCAGAGGTTGCGGTGAGCTGAGATCGCACTACTGTACTCCAGCCTAGGTGACAGAGTGAAACTCTGTCTCAGGAAAAAGAAAAAAAAAAAGAACATTACTGCCTCTAAAAACAGATTAAAAAAAAAATTTCTAATCACTTTCTACTGATTACACCCAGTAGACGGAAGATAATATTTAAAGGATTTCATTGTCTATACTTATATCTTAAAATCTGAGGTCCTAAAATGGAAAAATATGGTAATTCCTTAAAACTAGTCAAGTATTCATCAAATGTTAACTATAACATTAGCTCTGGATCATACTGCTAGAAAAATTTTAAAATGAGGAAATATTAGAATATTTCTGCAGAACAAAATGCTTATTCATCACATATCATGCTTAAGGAGATGAATTTAAAACCTGGTCCCTGCCTCAAGGAATTTATAATTTAGTTGAGAAGGGAAAAGAAAGTAGATGACAAGTTAAACAACAATGCAAGAAATAAATAACAATTTGAAACAATATAAGGTCTATCACAAAGCAATGCATAATTAACTATATCCCAAGTAATCATAGAAAATAATGTCTGTGGGATTCCAGGAGTGAAAATAAAGTGGACTGAGAGGCCATCATGAAGTCTTGGAAGATGGCTAGGATATGCATAAAAGAACGAAAAGGAATCTGGGTAAGTAACATAAAAAAATTAATCCCAAAAGGAAGAAAGTATCACACTCTTTTTTCCCTTATTAAGGAGGGGAGAGTAGTGGGCAGCAGTCATGAGAAGAGGCTTTTCAGGTTGTTTTTATTTTATTCCCTTCATAACCTCCAGATGCCAAGTTCTTATTAATAGAAGAACAGAAGGTTGGGCACGGTGGCTCACGCCTGTAATCCCAGCACTTTGGGAGGCCAAGGTGAGCAGATCACCTGAGGTCAGGAGTTCATGACCAGCCTGGCCAACATGGTGAAACCCTATCTCTACAAAAATACAAAAATTAGCCAGACATGATGGCAGGTGCCTGTAATCCCAGCTACTTGTGAGGCAAAGGCAGGAGAATCACTTGAACCTGGGAGGCGGATGTTGCAGTGAGCAGAGATCACGCCACTGCACTCCAGCCTGAGCAGCAGAACGACACTCCATCTCAAGAAAAAAAGAAGAAGAGAAAAGAGTCCTGAAACGGCCACCACTACCCCAACACCTTCAATCAAAACACTGATGTTTTTTCTCTGGCATTTCACTTTCACTGTGGCTTTCCCTGAAAATCCAGTAAATTCATTAATAACGCAGAGTTGAGCCCATTATGCATCTGTTGACCTAAAAAAGCTGACCTTCGGCCAGGCGTGGTGGCTCTCACCTGTAATCCAGCACTTTGGGAGGCCAAGGTGGGCGGATCACCTGAGGTCGGGAGTTTGAGACCAGCCTGACCAACATGGAGAAACCCCATCTCTACTAAAAATATAAAAATTAGCCAGGTGTGGTGCCACATGCCTGTAATCCCAGCTACTCGGGAGGCTGAGGCAGCAGAATCGCTTGACCCCAGGAGGCAGAGGTTGCGGTGAACTGAGATCGCGCCATTGCACTCCAGGCTGGGCAACAAGAGCTAAAATCCATCTCAAAAAAAAAAAACAAAACAAAAAAAAGCTGACTTTCAACTTCACAATGTTACATTTGTATCTCTAGGATTCTATTACATCAGCATCACTACCTAAAAACTATTAAAATAAACCATGTATAATCTTCAGTTACATAAAAATGTGTAGCTGGGGCATTTTTATTTTGTTCACATAGTAGTAAGTGTGAGTAAAGATTTTATCTGGAAGAAATTTTTGTATAATATAGACAATGCCTTGCACATAAGATATCTGAATGTTTCCATGTTTTGAATTAAACTCATCAAAACCCCTCAGATTATCTTTAAATACTCACTGCACCCACGTTGCCATCCCCAAGTTAAAATGAACAATTCTAAGGAGGCCAAGGCTGAAGGATCACTTGAGCCTAGGAGTATGAGAATAGCCTAGGCAACAACAGGGGGACCCGTCTCTACAGAAAATTTTAAAATTAGCCAGACATGGTGCTATGTGCCTGTGGTCCTAGCTACTTGAGGCTGAGGCAGAAGAATACTTGAGCCTGGGAGGTTGAGGCTGCAGTGAGTCATGATCATGTCACTGTATTCCAGCCTGGGTGACAAGAGTGAGACCCTATCTCTAAAGAAAAAAATTATTAAAAATTCTATTTCTGATTTTAGGGAAAACAGGATTCAGAAAGAGCAGCTTTCTTTACCAGGTAACAAGGAATTTGCCTATGACAAACATTATTATCATAATTTTACAAAAGAAAAAACACTGGCTGGATTTTGAATATAGGTTTGACTGTAATAGCTTTAATTAATTACATTATAACACACTGCCTCAAATTTAATACAAGACTGAAATTGTAATGAGATATGATTTAAATTGGTAAAAACTGGTCACAGACTTTTTCTCCAGTCTTAAGCAAAAGATGTTCGAGTATAAGTGATACCACTGAGGATAAGAATTATTTAAAAGACAATAGTAATAACTGTATATTTATAGTTTAGTTTTCTAATATTTAATGCTATGTTAACTTTTAAAGTTTTCAATATAAATTAAAAGAGGAAACCTAAGATGTTAGAAGTGTACAACAACCAAAGACAAACAAGGAGGTAAGAAAAGTATCCTAAGCCTCCCCCAAACTGGGTCACCAGTTCCTGAATAAGTGTTCAATGTCACTTTTTTGTTGTTTTTTTTTTGGCCTATCGAAATACCAAATTTCTTGGAAGGCTTACTGGAGACAATTTTTTTTAACTAGACTTAATTTCTGTTTTAATTATTTAAAATTATTAAGTCAAACCACCTGATAAGGACAGAATAAATTTAAATACATTAATGTAAAATTTATCCAACTATTGAATATTGGTCTGAAAACACTTATTCATGAAAGTGATAAATTTTTGGTTATCAGACTGGCAGACAGAACACATCTAAAACCACTACTGAAATGACACTTTATCTGTCAGAATCTGAGTGACAATAAAATTAAAGGCCAGGTGTGGTGGCTCATGCCTATAATCCCAACATTTTGGGAGGCCAATATGGGAGGATCGCTTGAGGCCAGGGCAAAATAGGGACATCCTGTTTCTACAGAATATTTTAAAATAAAATTTAAAAAAAGGTAATAAAAAAGTAATAAAAATAATATTAAAAAGAAATGTCACTTGAAATCATCTTATTCGACAAATTAAGAAAGCACAGAATGGGGGAGATTTGGTGCTGTTTTTATCTTTAATCAGGATACATGAATTCTAAAGCAAAAATAGACAAGGGGCAGTGGCTCATGCTTATAATCTCAGCACTCTGGGAGTGTGAGGCTGGAGGATCTCTTGAAGCCAGGAGTTCGAGACCTGCCTGGGCAACAAAGCATGAGACCCCATCTCTTAAAAAAACAAACAAAAAAAATTAGCTGGGTGCGGTGGTGTGTGCATGTAGTCCCAGCTACTTGGGAGGCTATAAGCAGAGTAGTACAAGGCTGCAGTGAGCTACCGTCACGCCACTGCATTCCAGCCCTGTCTGTAAAAGTAAGTCAATAAATAAGCAAATAAGCCTGGTTTTGTTCTGAATTGTAACTGATGTGACTGAAATTTGTTGACTGGAAAATTAAAATTTAGCTCGCCTTGAATTCTTGCATTGCTTCTAAACAGTTAAGAAGTTATGAGGGCCGGGCGTGGTGGCTCAAGCCTGTAATCCCAGCACTTTGGGAGGCCTAGACGGGCGGATCACGAGGTCAGGAGATCGAGACCATCCTGGCTAACACGGTGAAACCCCGTCTCTACTAAAAAAATACAAAAAACTAGCTGGGCGTGGTGGCAGGCGCCTGAGGCAGGAGAATGGCGTGAACCTGGGAGGCGGAGCTTCCAGTGAGCTGAGATCCGGCCAAAAAAAGAAGTTATGTATCAGGCTAGGTGCGGTGGCTCATGCCTGTAGTCCCAGCACTTTCAGAGGCTGAGGCGGAAGGATCACTTGAGCCTAGGAGTTTAAGACCTGCCTGGGTGACATAGTAAGACCTCATCTCTACAAAAAACTAAAAAAAATTAAAAATAAAAAAAAATTAGCCAGGGAGAGTGGCATGCGCCTGTGGTCCCAGCAACTCAGAAGGCGAGGCAGGAAGACTGCTTAAGCCCAAGAGGTCAAGGCTGCAGTAAGCCATGTTCACACCACCACACACCAGCCTGGGCAACACAGCAAGACACTGTCTCACAAAAATAATAAAAGAAAGAAATTATCTATTAGAAACAAGGCTTAGTTGTAAACCCCTTTGAATTATGGGTACCTATATATGAGGATGGGTGCTATTATACATACACATATCCCCTAAGTCAATGGTTAAGGAGAATATGTATCAGACTTCCTTAGGACTTTTCCAAAAGTCCCTATATCCCCCATGATATAACTATGGCTACACAATCTCTGTGGTGTAGGAACTAGGCAAAGGTATTTTGAAAAAGCTCCCCCCATGATGCTGATATATCCCTTATTAAGAACTATTACCAACGACAGTATTCTCATATGTGCATGTACTAGAAATAATTTTCTTACAAATGCAAAAATGTCACCTAACTGAAAAAAAATCATCTCACTTCCAAAGCAACCCTCCCCACATTACCTTTTCCTTCTCTCGGTTTCTTCTTTATACCTAACTCAGGAGACCCATTGGAAATTGGTGATTGCTGGGTCTTTGGTTTACGGCCAACTGAAAAAATAAGATATTGAAACCATACGTTGAAAACAAGAAAAATATGAGAGGCATGATTAGCAGACTTTCTGATTACACATTATTCATTTAAATGGACACTAATTTGTAGATAAATATACTCTGTATGAAAAGCTGCTTCTAAAAGGAGTACTAAAAACACTTCTGTATTTTAGATTACAGCAGTAAGTAGTAATCTCTGTCATACACATTGGCAGAGCCTCGATTGCCATATACATTGGTCAGAGCCTTGATTTGCCAATCTTTTTTCTTTTTTCTTTTTTTTTGAGATGGAGTCTTGCTCTGTCGCCCAGGCTGGAGTGCAGTGGCACGATCTCGGCTCACTGCAACCTCTGCCTCCCAGGTTCAAGCAATTCTCCTGCCTCAGTCTCCCAAGTAGCTGGGACTACAGGCGCCTGCTACCACACCCAGCCGATTTTTTGTATTTTTAGTAGAGACAGGGTTTCACCATATTAGCCAGATGGTCTCGATCTCCTGACGTCGTGATCCGTCCGCCCTGGCCTCCCAAAGTGCTAGGATTACAGGCATGAGCCACCGTACATGGCCTTGCCAACCTTTTATATTAGTGTAGCAATAGAAACAAATCCTAGTAAAAACTTAATTTGTTTTCTGCTCTATAGGATTGGGAGAAACAGCTTTAGCAACTTATTGCAGAAGATCTGATAATTTGCAAAGCTCTTTGAACTCAAATGAGGAAAAGTAAAAAACAACAAACACTCTCTACTGCTCTGGATCAGTTAATTCACCAGAATGTAAGCATAAGTGTTTCAATTTCCCCACTTCCACATGCAGATACATTACAAGGGTAAAAAAACTTCCAAGTGCTTTTTATGTCTAATAAAGGTTTGTGTCCTTCCCTTTTGTTCCTCTTCATTTTTGCCATAAGGCTCTCTCAGATAGACTAGCATCCACAATGAATAGAAAAAATAAGGGCTATATACTTTTCTACACAAAAGAGGATTAAGCCTGAATGAGCTACATTCAATCCTGAGCACAGATGGATGAACACTGGCAGGTGAGAGGCAGACTCAAGAAATAAACTGGAAATACGTAAGTATGCTGTATTTTAAAATCAAATATATATATATATACACACACACACTTTTTTTTTTAAGAGATGGAGTCTCACTCTGTCACCCAGACTGGAGAGCAGTGGTGTGAACATGGCTCACTACAGCCTGGGTTCAAGCAATCCTCCCGCCTCAGCCCCCTAAGTAGCTGGGACTAAGTCATGCACCACCACGCCCGGCTAATTTTTATATTTTTTGTAGAGACGGGTTTTACCAGGTTGCCCAGGCTGATCTTGAACTCCTGAGCTCAGGCAATCTGCCCGCCTCAGCCTCCCAAAGTGCTGGATTACAGACACGATCAAACATATTATTACTGATTTGGTGATTGTTCTACATCTGAGATTTCTGATGTTACTCTATTCTTCAATAGGAAACATTAAATTAATTATATTAATCTATATAATTAATTATATAAAGAACTAATTAAAGCATCTGAACATCTGTATTTCAAAATGCACAGATATACTTTAGAATTCTGGTAATTCTAATCAAGAAGTCTGTTTGTAACAAAAAATAAAACAGAAAGTTCACTGGTCTCTGTTAGAATACAGCTTAATTACTCAATTTAAATAATATTTATACATATGAATCAGACAGTAATAAAACTAACATCTTCAGCATCTCCTAAATTCTAGCACAAAAGCCCAATTTAGTAAAGTTAGTGCAAAAAGGTTTAATTTATTTTCTCATAAAGCTGCACGTCCAAAGTCATGTTCCTTAATAAATTACCTCCATAGGAAAATGGGTTCTATATTCATATTAACTTTTAGAACACCATACGCTATCTTCTCTTGGAAGATAGCAAGATCCACAATGTACATTAGTATATTAAAGGATCTCAAAATAAAAAGAGGGACTGCTATTAAAAAATAACCTATCTAAGTTTGCATATCCCAAATGTACTTAACCACAAAAATATAAATAATGATGCTCTTACTCTTCATTGTCTCCCTTACGGTAATAAGTACAGACAGAATGGTTACATGTATTTTTTTTTTTCTTTGAGACAGGGTCTCACTCTGTCACCCAGGCTGGAATGCAGTGGCACGATTATGGCTCACTGTAGCCTCCCAGGCTGAAGCGATCCTCCTGCCTCAGCCTCCCGAGTAGCTAGGACTACAAGCATGTGCCACCATACCTGGCTAATTTTTTTTAATTCCTCGAGATGAAGTCTCACTATGTTGCTCAGGCTGGTCTTAAACTCCTGAGCTCAAACAATCCTCCTGCCTCAGCCTCCCAAAGTGCTGGAATTATAGGCGTGAGCCACCACACCCAGGCTTGTAATTTTTAAATGCTCATTAAGAGCTTTCACAGAAATAAATAAAATTGTTATTAAATTGGCAAAGTATTTCCTGGTTTATAGAATATCACATATCCTGGCTCCCAACATGGCCCATTTTTCATAGTCTTTTCCATCTTCCTTTAAATGTGTGTGGTGTTTTTTTTTTTTTTTTGAAACAGAGTCTTACTCTGTCACCCAGGCTGCAGTGCACTGGTGCAATCTCAGCTCACTACAACCTCCACCTCTCGGGTTCAAGCGATTCTTCTGCCTCAGCCTCCCGAATAGCTAGGACTATAGGCATGTAACACCACAGCCGGCTAATTTTTGCATTTTTAGTAGAGACAGGGTTTCATCATGTTGACCAGGCTGGTCATGAACTCCTGACCTCAAGTGATCTGCCCACCTGAGACCCCCAAAGTGCTGGGATTACAGGCATGAGCCATCGTGCCCAGCATTAAATCTAAACAAACATTTCTTAAGTATTTTGTGACAGCTCTCATTGGATGCAACCAGCCAAGTGCTATAGCAGGCAGTGGGTAAATAAGGCTATTTATATGTATGCCTTTTGTTTTCAAATGATTACATCAGGAAGTAATTCTTCCTCCTAAATTCTCTCATGTATACCTCTCTCGAGATGCATATAATCTATATGTATTGCAAGTGGGAAGACACTGTCTTATTCTCATCTCCCTTACAACAATGACCACAGAATGGTACACACTGTGGCAATCTGAAACACTATATTTAATGAATAAAAGGAAATACCATTATTTCAAATGCACCTTTATTTTTACCTTTATTTTACTCTAAAATGTGAAGAGTTAGAGAAGAAAGGAGAATTAGGTGAGTACTCAATTACTCAGAATGTCATTTCTTTCCAATTTTACCCTTGATTTCAACAGAAAAAGACTCACTGCCCATGTCCTCATGATGTTGAAAATGTGCTATTGGGATGAGGGGAGCAGAAATTTCAGCAGGAGTCAAATAGTAAGTGGAAATGCTCTTTACCCACTGGTGAGTTTATGCTAATCAGAAGTCTCTATCAGCATTCTTAGTGCTTCAAAGCAGAAGGCAGAAGGTAAAAACAGCATGATATATAATAAATGATATATAATATATAGTATATATATCACACTATGTATCATATATTGTATCTAGCATATAAGTGATATATCATATATACAGTATGACATACATATATATATCTCTCTCACTGTTTATTTAGGTTTTTTGAGATAGGGTCTTGCTATGTTGCCCAGGTTGGCCTCAAACTCCTGGGCTCACGCAATCCTCTCACCTCCTGAGCAGCTGGGACTAAAGGTGTGCCTGGCTTTTTAAAAAATATCCATGAAAGCAAGAGAAGACAAGACTTTGTAAAATAAAGAATAAAATGGTGTGTGTGTGTGTGTGTGTGTGTGTGTGGTTTTTTTTTTCAGTAACCAAGTACCCATAAAAGGATCAACAAGGAGAAGATGGAGTAAGACAAGGTGCAGGGAATCTCTGATCTGTCTTCTGTGTGTCGAACACCTGTTAGATATCATTGTCACACAATTATCCTCAAGCCTTACATACTATCTCCTTTAAACAGTATGAGTATGTTAAAACACTAAATTAAAATCTCAATGTTGATTATTTGAGAATATCTAGTTAAGATAACATCAATCTTAAATCTACAGCATATACTATTTTCTATGTCCCTTGATGAGGAAAAAGGTAAGAAAAAAATTTTCACCTGCCTTCTCAGAAATGTATAAATATACTCTACCTTTTTTCTTTTTCATTGGTTCATGGCTATCTGGTGATGTTGGAATAGGAGAGGTATCCATTGGTTCAGACTCTTCAGTTGACACCTCCACTACAGTTTCTGTAATGACATCTGGCCTCATAGCAGCATGGATAAATTCTGGAGTTGATACACAAGGAGGAACAAACACTTCCACTATAAAAAAAAGTTGAAAAATTAAAATTTCCCACCCCCATCAATGTTTCTTATGTGGATAGTTCAATATTTAGAAGAGGTGAGATTTATTAAGAATTAATCAAAGCAGGATAAGAGCTAATTTGCTGAATATTCAATATGATTTAAACTATACAAGGAAAATAAATGCAAGGAAAATCAACTTAAAGGAAAAATGTTAATTCTCTGGGTAAAGCAAGGACCATGAGTAGTCACCCCACTCTTTCACACTTATACTTTCAAACTCAATGTAGAAAAATTCTAAATTATTTGAAAATAATAGTATAATAGTGAGTTAGTTAATAATTACTTTCTTTTTTTTTTTTTTTTTTTTTTTTGAGACGGAGTCTCGCGCTGTCGCCCAGGCTGGAGTGCAGTGGCCGGATCTCAGCTCACTGCAAGCTCCGCCTCCCGGGTTCACGCCATTCTCCGGCCTCAGCCTCCCGAGTAGCTGGGACTACAGGCGCTGCCACCTCGCCCGGCTATTTTTTGTATTTCTTAGTAGAGACGGGGTTTCACCGTGTTAGCCAGGATGGTCTTGATCTCCTGACCTCGTGATCCGCCCATCTCGGCCTCCCAAAGTGCTGGGATTACAGGCTTGAGCCACCGCGCCCGGCCGTTAATAATTACTTTCTATCCACTTAGCCATCATTATTTTTTAACAGGTAATATGTGGCTCAAAATTTCAAAGATTTGTAAATATGTACTCAGTAAAACACAAGCACCTATAGTTCATTTTAGAATATGAAAAGGAAAACTTGCTCATTACAGACAAGAAATATTACCTTTCAGTATTTAGAGTTTTATTTAATGTAAGAGTCCTGATGTTTTAGTCACCAAAACAGTAGGTACAGATTGTTATCTGGTAGTCTAGCACATACAATAATGTTGCCCTGGCTTCCTTCGAACATGCACAAATAACCAAGATAAGACATTTCTATTTCAATTAAGAGATACACTTAATACATACTATCTTAGATTAATAGATTGACCAAAAATGCTGCAAATTTATTCTCATATCTCTGAGTAATACACAGGATTCTATTCAAATTAAGAAGTATGGTTGCTCTTATTGTAAATCCCAACGAGAAGGTGAGCTAGTCTTTTTGTATCAAGTCAAATTAACATTTGGGCATTAAATTTAGGACAAATCAGAATTGTACAAAATGACTATCAAGGTTGTTCTTAAAGACTAAGAGGGACCACAAAAAAATAAAAACTCACAATCTGAAAGATGTGTGAAAAATATGGCAAAAGTTCCCTTCGCTCTCTACCATATGTGGTTCTCTGGAGTTACTGCCTGTTTATCACTGAATAAAGGATTGAAAGTGGTCCTAACAGGCAACTGCTCCCATCTATCATACTCTGAAGGACTATGAAGGCTTATAACTTGTCCAGAGTTAAGGAAATAGACATTACAGTATAAATAGCTATTTAATAAATATTTGTCTACCTATAGTGGGTATTTTCTGTATCATTTGTTAGGAAAATTAAGTATTTAAGACTTGGAGGCCTTGACAAATAAAGTTCAATTACTGCTGTCAAATATTCATGTATAATGTATCTTTGAGAATTCCCAACAATCCCCTTGGATTAAAAAAACAAAACTTTATTTTAGACATATGAAGTAGTATGACACGTTTAACGTAAGAATGAACAGTTTACATACCAGGACTTCTTGAATCCCTCAAGCAGGTAGGAGATTCCATATGAAGCAGGGCTTCAGCAGCTTCAATTGTCTTATCTGTACAGTGTGCATTACTGCTATGAACTGATGCTTCCACTGGAGGAAAAATAAGTTCTACTCAATTAAAAATACACTAAACATATGACTAAAACATATTACTAAGAAATAAACATATTCACTCCTGAAAGAGAAATGAAAACTAAATAAATATAACACGAGTAACTCTAAGCCATTGATATCTATTTGTCTATATAAATTACAGAAATAATTTTTTAAAAGCTAGTATCTACATTTTATAAAATGAATACTGCTATAAAATGAATGTTGATTATAAAGTTACCAATGACATTGATCAGAAATTACTGAGAAGTTGGCCAGGTACGGTGGCTCACGCCTGTAATCCCAGCACTCTGGGAGGCCAAGGAGGGTAGATCACCTGAGGTCAGGAGTTGAAGACCAGCCTGACTGACATGGTGAAACCCCATCTCTACCAAAAAATACAAAAATTAGCTGAGCATGGTGGCACACACCTGTTAATTCCCAGCTACTCGAGAGGCTGAGGCTGGAGAATTGCTTGAACCCAGGAGGTAGAGGTTGCAGTGAGTCGAGATCGCACCACTGCACTCCAGCCTGGGCGACAGAGTGAGACTGTCTCAAAACAGTAACAAAAGAAATTACTGAGAAGTTTCTGAATCTTACTCAAAGGAAAACAAAGAAAGATCCTTGAAATTTGAACCCTGCATCAATTTTAGGCCAATACTAACTTGTAGGAAGGGAGGAAGGGGCAGGGAGAGGCTGGTTGTAGATTAACAACCCTGTGAGGGCAATTACATATTTTGATGTATCATGCCAAGTTAATTTAATTTAATCAATTAATTCAATTCTTACAGACTCTCTTGAATGACTGAGTAAGCCCTCCATATCCAAGGGTTCCACATCAGCAGATTCAACCAACCTCAGATTGAAAATATTGCAGGGGAGGGAGAGGCAATAAAAAAAATTCAACAATTAAAAATACAATGTAAATACTACAGCATTTTGTATAAGGGACTTGATTGAGCATTCTAGGATTTCAGTATCTGCCAGGTGGAGGAGGCATCCTGGAACCAATACCCCAGGTATACTGAGGGACGACTGTACTCTCCAGGCACGGCTGCCTAAAGATGGATAACAACATGCATTAGATTTACTGCCAGAGTACTTGGGAACTTTCTTTAAAATTAACCTTGCTCTCTTCAGAGCCTCAGTGGGTTTTAACCTAAGACTTTTTCTTAGAGTTTATTCTTCCCACGAAGCCTTCAAATTCTACCACCCTTTGTATTTCTCTTCTTCTAGCACTTCCTTTATGCTTTGCTGATTATGTTACTTGTAAACAATGTGTACAGCAGTGGTTTGAGCTTTCAGGTCCAACAGCTTGGGTTCCAGTCTCTGCCACTTATTTCTGTTACCTGAGGTAAGCAACTTAATCTCTATCAAACTTCAATTTCCTGTTTCATAGGGCAAGAATATGATAAATTTCTTATCATTCCTGTAAGACTGTAAACTTCTTGAGGTCTGGGGGGCTAGCTTAACCAATCTTTACATACGCCATGGTTCCCAACATAGACTTTTCATGGAGCAGACATGCAGATTTTTTTTTTTTTTTAGACGGAGCCTCGCTCTGTTGCCTAGGCTGGAGTGCAGTGGCATGATCTCGGCTCACTGCAACCTCCACCTCTCAGGTTCAAGAGATTCTCCTGCCTCAGCCTCCTGAGTAGCTGGGATTACAGGCACATGCCACCACGCCCGGCTAATTTTTGTATTTTTAGTAGAGACGGGGCTTCACCATGTTGGCCAGGCTGGTTTCGAACTACTAGCCTCAGGTGATACAACCGCCTCGGCCTCTCAAAGTGCTGGGATTACAGGCATAAGCCATCACGCCAGGCAGATATTTCTTTTTTTTTTTTTTTTTGAGACGGAGTCTCGCTCTGTCGCCCAGGCTGGAGTGCAGTGGCCGGATCTCAGCTCACTGCAAGCTCCGCCTCCCGGGTTCACGCCATTCTCCGGCCTCAGCCTCCCGAGTAGCTGGGACTACAGGCGCCCGCCACCTCGCCCGGCTAGTTTTTTGTATTTCTTAATAGAGACGGGGTTTCACCGTGTTAGCCAGGATAGTCTCGATCTCCTGACCTCGTGATCCGCCCGTCTCGGCCTCCCAAAGTGCTGGGATTACAGGCTTGAGCCACCGCGCCCGGCCAGATATTTCTTTTATGTACTGAATTAAGGACAACCCACTGACCTTACAGGAAAATCAGCAATTCAAGAACAAATGTTATTATCTTTAAAATATATTAATTTCACACCCTGACTTAAAATATTGAATAATTATCTTGGTAAAAGGTTCTGAAACATGAATATTTAAGAGTCTCTAACTTGAGAGATTTTTCTAAGATATCCCCTAAAGGAACTAAAAGTAAATGTTTATACAAATTTCATAAAGTCATATTACAAATTCATAAGCACTACACACTAACGATATGAATCTTTTAAAACTGTTTCCAGGAAACTTTTAATTGGGGGAAAAAAATCCAGTTAGTCTCAAAGTTCCCTAAATGCTAAAGCCTCAGTCTTAAACAACAGTCATTTGGAAAGCATTTATTTCAAAAACCCAATGACTGTTTTACCACCTGTTGCACATCATCCACAAGGTACTGGGTCTCTCCAGTTGCTCTTTCCATTTATGGAAATCTGTTCAAAGCTAAATGGTTCCAGAGAGGCAGCCAAACCTCTAAGTAAATCTATCTTTAGGTGACCCTGCTTACTCTTATCTGCAGCTTCACTGAAGCAAAGGATTCAATCAGCCTGTGTAATTCAACTTTAAGAAAACTTAGCATTATTAAGTATAAGATACATTATTATTCTCAATTATTTTTTCAAAATGCCTCCCTACAATACTCACATACACTAAGAAAAAAAACCTTGACAAGCAAATTCTCCAGTTTTTAAAATTTATTCTAGCAAGCATTCTCTTTAAAGTCTGCTTGTGTTGCAATTTAGCTCTTGTCTTAGGTGCTATTAATAAACTATCCTGGGTAAACTAATTCCTTATGTAATTATATTAAGACACACCCTAAAACTTTACCATATTAAAATCAGAGCTTCAAGTATTCAATAATAATACAGCAAGAGAATTTTACCAGATTGTTTAATGTTTCAGCTTATAAACAAAATGAAATTTGCCTAACAGTTACTTACATATTACATGCCCTGAATTCTTAGGTAGTTTGAGGCACATTTTCAAAACCATGATTTTGTGTTACTAAAATTGTTAGGTCAATGGAAGTTTCTTCTTCAAGGGGTAATTTTTGCACATATTTCTGACCTCGATTTCCCCTTCCCCCCTAAAATTCAACATAATATATCTCAGAAATATTTTAGAGTAAAATACATACACTTACTTAGAAAATTTACTCATTCATACTTTAAATTTAGGATGAGAACATAAAATAAGCATAAATTACCTAAGAAGTTATCAGCCAGAAGATCTAATACTCTATGTACAACTGACAAATGGTTGCTGACATTTACCATGTGCCCAGACCCTGTGCTATAAACCTGACACAAGTGTGAACAGATCTCCGGCCTCATGAAGCTTATACTACTATAGGTTGGGCATGCCTTATCCAAAATGCTTAGGACCAGAAGTGTTTCAGATTTCGAATTTAAAAACAATGTATCTGCACTATATATTTCCAGTTGAATATCCCAAATCTAAAAATCCAAAATGCTTTAATGAGCATTTCCTTTGAGTGTCACATCAGTGCTCAAAGTTTTGGATTTTAGAACGCTCCATCTGTAGTTCAGAGAGCATCAAAAACATAAATGGAAGATATTTCAAAACTAAATAAAAATGTCAAATAAACTTACTTTGTAAGTTAAAAGCATGTTAAGAGGAACACTGATTACTTTTTTGCTGCTTACTAATTTTATCTCGTCATTTTTATTTACTAACTAAAATAATGCAAAACACAAAAATCTAAGAGCCGATTCTCAGATCAATTTACAATAATGTACTAATGCCAGTTTCCAAAACTTAACACATTTTGTAAAAGTGAGCACTATCTTTTTATTTTTGTTTACATAAGTAACTTTTTACAACAGAAATTTAAGAAATATTTCTCCTACTTGTTTCTGTAATTCAAAAAAATGCTCTTTTGTTCAGGTCAATAATTCAAATAAAACTTCAGCTATAATTTTGCACATTTCTTAAGAATAAGCATGAATTTAACAGTGTTGTGCAATCAAAGTAAGAAAGCTACAAACAAGAGCTGAAAAGCAGAATTCCTTATCTTACTTAAAACTTGACTTACTGGTATCTTTCTGTATCTACGAAATTTATGTAAGGAATAAATAAATAACTCATTTTAAAAATAGAAACAATGGAGCTAAAAGTAGTCTGACAGGTATCATTTTCTAGTTACCACTGGTAGTGGGTATTGTTGGTCAATTCCCCTTGAAATAAATTTCAAGAACTGTTTTACTTTTTATTACAGTACCAAAAATAACATTTGCTCATACCTTCATTTAATATTGGTAAATATCTTCTTGTTCCATTTCTATCTTTCTAATCAACTGGTGTTTGTATGGTACTGCAGACTATTCCAGACTCACTCAACAGCTGTTACAAAATACCAAACTTGGTAATTAAGTCTGACAAGAGGCATACCTCTCAGCTTTGCATAAGAGAATGCTGGCAATGGATCTAGTTCATAAAAATGTTCTCAAGTCAAAAATAAAATTTAGTAGCAATTTAGTTTGAGAGCAGTGAAAAAAAATTAGAAAGCAGTTCATTAGGTGATAGTGGTATTCCTCTATAAGCAACACTATAAACTAATAGTACAAAGTCTTCACTCAACTACAGTACTGATTTACCACTACTTATCCTCTAATACCCCAAAGCAATACCAGTAATAGGTAAATGAAGAATACAAATAAATGCAATGAAAAGGGGGAAAAGGTAATTAAAGGTCTGGAACACTCCATCTTTACCTTTTCCCCCTTGACCTTTTAATCAATATGCTTGCATTATAAAGTACAAAAAGAAAAAAAGAATGGCTTTT